TTCACCAGTTTTGGGGTGTTTCATGAAATAATCCTTAATCAGGACTTTAGGTTTTGAGGTATTAGTATCAATTCCCCACACACCATGTTGCTGCCAAGTACATTGATTATTTATCCATGCAGATTTGCACTCTTTATTAACAATTCGGGTAGTTTGTTTACGAGTAGGAAATGGCCATGATCTAACCCATACTTCAATCTCCTGAGGTATACCAGCCCCAAGAGCAAATGATTGCAAGGCATTTGGTGAATCACCAAACACAAGAGTGGCACCAGCATCATATTGAAGAAGATTTGAAAGGCCAATATATCCAGGGCTTTATAACAAATTTATTTATTTATTTTTTTTTTAATATAAATTTTATTGCTAATTAACATAAATAAATAAATGAAATATAAGAAAATACGTACTGAGGTTCATTCATTAATTCAAATCCCATAACAGCGTCCAAATGTTGAATACGCCTGAATGACATTAATAAAGGTAGTATAAATTATATATCCATTAACATTACTAAATAATAATAAATAGTATTAGCCTTACTTTGCCAAGTGTTTATAGCAATTTATATATTTTTCTTGTAAAAAATCTTTAACGTTTATCCCTTCATATTTTGTTTCTGGTGCAAATACATCACCACCCCAAAATAGGGTGAACATTGTACTACTAGCCAATTTTGTATAATTTGTAGGCCATACCATGGGTAACGGAGGTTCGCCTGGACTATGGTGCGTATTATGAACATAAGCAGCACCTGTAGCCTTGAACTCCTCCATGTTAAGACCTGCGACTTCAAAAGTCCACCCTGGAGCACCAGAGCCACCTGAAAAACGTGACCACTATATTTATAATGAGACATTTAATTAAATAAATTAAAAATAATTGAGAAATGATTTAAATAATGATAATGTACTAACACAATCCTGATGTGGATCTATGAAACACTTAATGCCATAACGTGGCATCTCATTGATAACATTAATCAGATAATCGATAAATTCTTCATCATAAATACCACTAATAAAGTTCATAATAATCATAATAAAATGATAGATTAGATAATAAAATCAAAATAATAATAACAATAATAATTATTATTATTATTATTATTATTATTATTATAATATAAGATAGAACTTACGGTCCAGCATGTTCCAGAGCTTCCCAGGGTACAAGTAATCTTACAAAAGTTAGGCCCCATGTTCTCAATCTAGAAAAGTGTTCATGAACATCTTCCAATGGAAAGGGACGTCCAACAAAAGATACATTGCGATGATCAAAGAATCCTTCAATCAAATGACTTGAACCATCTGGTTTTGTAGGTAATTTTGAATTTCCACACAAATTGACACCACGTAACATACAAGTTCGGCCCTGTTCATCCTTGAACCAACGGCCATCAGCGTGAATTGAACCACCGCCACAAGAATACCAGTTATGAGCTAGGGCTCCAGACTCACCGAGTGCTAATAAGTTTTCTTCGATTAATAATGATTTATCATTCCTTGTGGGAGTTCCAGGAGGAGTAGACGCGTAAGAACTAAGAGAAGAAACGGAAGCCGTACGCTTTAATTCAGGAAGAGAAAGATGACGGGAACGTCTAAAACATAAATTTGTTTTAGTTGCAAGTGATATTTCATCAGAAGAGTCACTATCAGAGACAGAAGCTATTTCAGAATCTACAGAGATCTCGGGAGCGGTAGATGCAGAAGGGTTTAGAGTAGAAGCTTCCATATCGATCTTTAATAAGGTGAG